AGGGCCAGGAAATATTAGCATCAAGTGAAATCAGTCATCCTAAAGTATGTCACACTTACCAGTTTAATGAGAAATTATACATTGTACAGAGAGAGAACAATTTTTAGCAAGAAGTTCAGTGTGGCATATGAATTCTAGTCATGCAGTTGTGATACCATGTTGTATTGTATATTTGAAAGTGTTACTATAGTTTGGCAATAAAATATATATACTTGTTGTGTTCAAAATGAGTGATTATTTCTTAAGATGAACATCATTTCTACTTTATATTGAGAAGCATTAGGGTTCTCAGAATAAGAATAGTTGTTATTGAGAACCTTGGCACTCTCAAGATAAGAATCAAGTTAAACTCTAAGAGAAAACCATCTCTTATTTCAATGGCAGATATCCACTCTCTTATATTGAGAGTGATATCATTTCTCAAATTGAACAACATTGCTATACTTATTTTGAGAACAAGCGTTCTTAAAATAAGAATAGTTCCAAACAAGCACCAATAGTACTCTCAAAATAAGAATCAAGTTATACTCCAAGAGAAAACCATCTCTTATTTCTAGCTTTTATCCATCTTGTAATAAGATTTTGCAATGATACTAAGAACAAAATCTTCTTATTTCAAGAATATAGTTACTTAATTCTAGAGCCTGGTCAAATTCCAGCTTTTAGGGTGTGATACATGATAATAAGAAATAAGGGTTCTGGATACGAGATTGTGAGGGAACCCAAGCGAATTCACTTCGTGGTTTAGGGTTAGGTTTAGGGTTAGGGTTTCGATTCTTGGTGTCTTCATTTGATTTTTTTTCTAAGTGAGCAGAACCAAAATCCTCGAAAAAGTTCTAAGTCCCACTCCGTACGAATAGCAAATACGAGTTGGCACAGCTACCGTACAAATAGTAGCCACTGCTTGGTTTACCTGTGGAATTTAGTACACAGGTAACCCATAAACTATTATGTATGGGAAAAAAGAAATATAGTAAAACTTAGTAAAATGTGCTAAAATTTAGACCACACATAAGGAAGTCAAATAGAAAGACCTTATAGAAAATCATTTTTATTGAGATTATCTTGAGAAATACCTATACTTTAGTTTAATAGAGATTGGGTTCCCTGTGGTCCTCATGACGTCACGCCATCTTGAGAAAGAAGACAAAATGGAGGGCAAAGCAAAGTTCATCTCGCCACATATCCAAGATAATCCCGATGGATGGGGCCCTTGTTGCGTCCCTACAGCCTTCAAAGACATCCCTTACCAGCCTTTCTCTAAAGGAGATCGAATAGGAAAGGTAAATTAAACGAATAATGTGAGAATAGGGTTTTTTTCTCGCTGTAGTTCAATCGCACATGGACACGTTGGTTTGACCGGTTTTTCGGTCAAATTATTTTTTCTGGAAACCAAGTAAACAGGAGAGAAATATTAAACTATATTTGATATTTATAAATGCTTGTAAAAATAAGGTTAACGTTATTTCTTTCCAAATTTCAATTTGAACAATTTTTGAAAATTATATTCTAGGGAAGTACGCTTTTTTGTTCGGTGGGGGTGGGGGGTGGGGGGAGCTGGGGGATTCGCAGTAAACTTTTTTTAAATGGTCGTAGCACTACTACTTTTTCTCAGTAAGAAATTCCTGACCCTCCTACTAAGATAACAAGGAAATTGCTGTTGTTAAAATCCATGAAATGTGTTTTTTTTCCTGACGACCCTCCCCTCAGAACAGGATATATTTTCTCCCAACTACCAGCCTACGTAAGGGCCCGTTTACAAGATACCAGAATGAGTTCGTTCTGGAATGAGAATGAAATGTCATACCGCGTTTACATGAGAAAAATCCACATAACAAGTTCAAGCCACGATCGCATTGAAATGTCTGATACGCATGCGAGAGAGTGGTTTCATTTCGGAATGAGTGTTCATTCCACGTTTACATTTTACTGGTATGGAATATCATTCCAGAATGAGAGTTTCGTTCCAGAATGAAAACCGGGAGGACTCATTCCGAAATGACTTGTTCTGGAATGAAATTTTGCTCTGGTATTATGTAAACAAATATAAAGAAATATATGGCAACCAGGATGAACTCGTTCCGGAATGAAACTCATTCCAGTATCATGTAAACTGCCCCTGGCTCAAAATCGCAATAGCTCATAAATATTGAAAACTTTAATATTACTTTTACTACTTTCATTATGAAGGTATCTGACTGGACTGGCAACATTTACCAGGACAGAAGATATGCAAGTAAGTAAAACCATAAATTTTTATGTACTTTTGGATTTGGGTCAGCATTGACATTCAGTTGAAACTTGATATTTGAACCTAGGGCTTAAAATGACAGCCAGTCGGTGGACAATGTCCGGCCAGAACTGGTGGATCTTGTCCTGTCAAATCATCATGACTGCTGCCTGGGTGTTATATAATAAGTATGAATCTCGTACCCAGAGCCTGCATTTCTTCTGGCCTGGGGCAAAGAACAAGGGATCTGGCATGATCCATTTTTTGGTGCATGCGCAGTTTTCCGAAAGTGAAATATAATTGATGAAAATCATGCTTTCAAACCGAATTCTTTGTTTAATTTTAGGTGTTTAAATGAAAATAAATATATATATTACTATATTTATTTCTTGTGTAGATAAATACCAGTCTCAATTTGGTGCTGGAAATCAGACATTCTCTTATTACCATGAGGAAGACGAGACATCATTCCAGCTTGTTGACACATCAAGACCTCAGCGACCTGCATACCTGAAAAACAGGAGTCGTATGAACCAGGTAGATCGATATTTTTAGCTAACTGTCCTTATTTTGGAATCAAGGGTACCTTAGCGGTAATACATGTACACTAACCTTTTATCTCTGGGCTCTCAGGTTTGATAGCAGGACCTGAGCAGACGTCATTATGTCTCATCCTTGATTTCAAGAGGGGTTTTCTCTGGGGTCTTTGGTTTTGGCATGACTGAGCTAAAACTAATTTGGGTGGTGATCAAGACCGTTGATGGACCAGTCTTTATTGTAAGCCCTGTTCCCTATAAATGATGTTAAATTTAAAGCATTTAATTGTTTATCCTACCAGCGAGGCAGAAGAGACCAACGTGGTGGACGTGGTGGTAACCAAAACTATGGTGGCAATCAAGGTGGTATGCAGAGTTTGTCAAGGGGTCGGGATAACCGCAACAAGTTCCAGCGCAAGATGCAGAGGAATTATGGTGGTGGTCGTTGGGGAGACCGGAAGCAAGGAGTAAGTATGAAAAGTAAAAATAAGAAGCTATTACAGTGTTACAGCTTACTACTGTATATTATTAATTAGGTGGCAGAACTGGGGTTACCCTAAAACCTCTGCTTTCCAAAAGTAAAGTTGCTGTAGCCACCCTGTACCAATCGGAACAAGTTTCTTGACAGGTTTTAAAAAAAAATTCATAGGATTAAAATGACAATAGATTGGTGTTTCAAACATTTCAACAAGACATAACCTATCAATGGAGATGCATGTACTGTACTAAGAGGTCAAATTTCAATTGGTAGTTTTTTACTGAGGTGCTTAGCATTCCCAGTGTTTCCATGTTATTTTTTTTTCAGGTGTTATTATGCAAACACACACAATGTACAGGAAATGTTGTAAAAAATTATCATAGTGAATGGACACTAAAAGGGTTATTTTAGCTGTTTGACTTGTAATATTCCATTTTACAGTTCCGTTCAGTGACTACAAAATACTGTATAATAGTTCCACGCATAATAAAAAGTATAGTTTTGCTATGCATGAAAGCTCCATCCTCGACCTGGAACTATAATTCATGGTCACTGAATGGAAGTATAAAACATCTTATTGTACAGTACACTGTTCGCCAGAGGGGAAGGGGGGTAGATTTTAGGGTGGAACCCAGTACATCCTGATCAGACACCCCCACTTTTCAAACCGCTCCACTACCCCTGCATTAGTATCTATAGATGAAAAGTTTTCTAGCTCAAATTTTTCCATAAAAATTTTTTTAGGGTCTTCATAAGAGAGTTTCTTCAGTTACTGTGCGAGAGGAATGGAAAGTGCTTGATGAAGGAGAACTGGATTTTCCAAGATTATCCAAACTAAGTCTTCCAAGTGTAGGAGAGCCTGAGGACTTGTAAGTAAAAAAAATCCAAGGAATAAATTATGCTTAAGGAAAACAAATATGCATCTTTAGGTCCTGTTACGATTATTAAGCAATTTTCCCAGCAACTTTTCTTGCAACACTGTTGTGAGAAAAGTTGCTGTTGCTGGAATATTGCACAGAGTAACAGCAGTTGTCTTGCATTTTTTTTGTTGTCCCTCGCAGTTTTAAGGTGTATTTTCCAAGAGCGCAAGAAAATTAGATTGAAAGAAAAAAGACTTAACCATCTTTAATCTCAAGWAGCTTTACAGAGATTTGGTAACATTCTAGTAGTTTACAGTTTGTGTAATTCCCACACTGGACATAGAATGCAAAATTACATGCAACATCTATAAAGGAGTGAGACAACTCACAAACTGTTCTACTTTCTGGGTTCTTTTGCAATGTAACGATAGAGAATAGACATTTTTTGAGTTTCAAATTACCACTGTGTTCCTTGATTACAGACTGCCATGTTGGTGGCATAAACTTGAGAAACTAGTGAGGAGTGCTTTGTAATTTGACACCAATATGAGAATCGAAAAATTACCAGTCCAAGAACATGGTTACTTAAGATAGAAGATAGGGGTACTACAGTAGATGTAAGGATTCCAACACCACAATGGCAGACACATGTTGAGAACTTCCTCATTTAAAGCAACTTTGCATGCAAAGTGACATGAGTTTATACCTTCAAGTTCTGTATAATAATAGATTGTGATTACGAGACTGTTTTCACCCCGATAGGTATGTATGTGGTAACTTACAGTACTATGATAAATCTATGGATCGTGTGACAACCAAGAATGAACTACCTCTTATTGGAGTGGACAGGATTTTCCACAAAGTCACCACAACTGATGATCCTATTATCAGCAAGGTATGACTGGGCTGGGCTGGGCTGGGCTAGGGGGTTTGATGCAGGGTTAACAACCCTGTCCAGTTAAAATAATGATTTTTCAGAAACTAAAAACACTAAAAAAGCTCTAGATGACCCAAGTTGAAGTTACAGACCTCCTTGGCTCAGGCATAACAGTGCCCCATTTCAGACCATGTGTCATTCCCTAGAGTATCATTTTTTGCTTAACTGTTGAGCTTGGTTGCACAAAAATCTTATTCTTGACGATACGAAGCTTTTTCTTGCCTTACCCTCGAAAGAAATCGACAAAGCTATCCCTGCTCTAAATGAAGATCTGAAAGAAATTGCAAAGTGGTGCTGCATGAACTCGCTTCTCATCAACCCAGATAAGACAAAAATACTAACTATTGGTGTACCGCAGCTCACAAAAACTTTACCATCACTCAAAGCAACACTGTTAGGAAAAGAGATCGAAGCCGTTCCTGTCGCTAAAGACTTGGGAGTTATTATCGATAGTTGCCTAAGTTACAACGAACATACAACAAAAACTGTTTCAAACTGTTTTTTTAA